TCTGCCAACATTTCTAATCTGCTGATGAGGTTAAAGCTCTGTGTGGGTCTGTTAAGCTTTGTCTTCAGTGACAGAGAGATGTTCTTCTTATGTCTGGATAACCTCCTGGCATAAACTCTAGCAGAGACTGAACATAAAAAAGACTGTTTAGCAGTAGTTAAAATGAATGCAGTACTGACTGTCTGGAATATATCTCAACTAATTGCACTGAGGAAAAAACCCACAAAAGGCTTCACTGAGGAGCGATAACGAGACTGCTTTCTTAGTCATTGCTCTGGCCAAAGCATCTCTCTTTTGCAATGAAGACAAAAAGAGACGTATATAGTTAAAACACAAATGCAGAAGGAAAGAAAAGGCAAGGTATGTTTTATTTCCCAACTACTTTGGGAATTACATACTACTTTGAAATTACCTAATCTTCTTTGTACAAAAATGTTATTCTGAAAAGGAAAGTGACAAACTGCAAGAGTTATTGGGACAAGGTCAGGTAGTGATCTTGCATCACTATTTTGTAATTAACAGTTGCTGAACATGACCTACACATGTTGTGACTTCTGTGAATTATCTTTTAATTTAGACTACCTCTTCTCCTAGTCTTTCATAAATTGTGGTTGGGAGAAAGCCTGCACTATTCCCTTCCCTCAGTCTCCTCTCTCCCCTTTTTTAAATACATTTCTTTGGCGTTTGGCAAACCACTTTGTTTACCACTGTGGTAAACACAGAGAGTCAGCCCAGCATGTTTTGTAGAGTACAAGATGGTCACACATCAACAGACAGGTTTTATAAGGAGGGTATCATTTTAGTACAACACGCTGGCATTGGCAGCTTCTCAGGCTGGAACGTGGCACTGTAATTCAGCTTTTCTCATTTTTTGTTTTTATTACCTAATAAAGCGATACACTATTAAAATGATTTATTTGCTGGAATGTGGTCAAGGTCTTTTTAGTTACAACATTTTCACTAGTTTATAAACATCTTCATATGAAAGCTATTTTCCATGTATCTCAGTAAGTATCCAGCTTTAGTGTTCTTTTTTTTTTCCCCTCTGCCTTCATCTGTGTGCCAGGTGCTGCAAAAATAAATAAAAAGACAGGTTCCTGTCCTGTTGTGCTTCCAGACTCAGCAAGAAATGACAGTAAGCAAAGGATTTCATAGCTAAGCGTGTGCATACATGAGCTCAGTGCAGCCGCAATAATTTTGTTATTGTTTTAGCTTTTTAATACATATTTCACCTGTGAAATTTTGAACAGATAAATCTTTTTCATGAGACAATGGGAGAACGCTGTATGTTAAGCTGAAGTCACTGACCCCTGCCATTTTTTGAATGGAGAGTGACAAGAAACCTTTTGCCTCACTCAATAAAATGATTAATTGCAACAGTGATTTACCAATTTCATATGTCTTTCTCTACATCAGGGTTCCCTGTAGGAACATGTGCTGCATCAGTCAGTGAGACATGCAGTGCAGATACTGGACAAGAGTGCGGCTTCAAATCAGAGTACATTCCACCAAGAAAGGGAATTTTTCGGCAGTTTATTGTCTTGTACTTAACAGAAGTTTATTATTATTATATATTAAAGATTAAAGTTGTTATTGACGTATATTTTTAGCCATGTTATCTGGTCATGAGATACATATGTTTGAATGGGGTCATGAATGTGATGGAATTCAGGCAGACAGTCAACATCAGTCCAGTCTCTTGTTGCTCCATAACACCTAATGGCAGTTCTATTTGCAAATTCAATGTAATGGTTTGCAATGCAAGAAACTAGGGTTGGGGATGGCCAGCAAGCCATAAACAAGGCCAAAAGGAGGAGCTCTGGCATGGACTGGGGAATTATTAGGAATTATTTTTTCCCTATTTTAATCTCCCAAATCCTTATTCAGGTTGATTCCAATGCCAACCCTGTATGGACTTTGATCATCAGAGTTTATTTAATGGCTGAGTTTGGTATAAAATGCACGAAAATTAGTAGGTTGGGAGAATTTCAATGATTTCTTTTAATCTCCAGCATATCCTAATCCAATAGACACCTGGGATTGGATTCATCTCGCTTAACTTTAGAAGTGTACGGGGCAGAACAGTGGACACTTCTCAGTTCATCAGACCCATTTTAGATAGCTGCTTGGGGATGATGCAAATCAAACTCTGACGGTACCTATTCACTGATTATAGTGAGATCTAGAAAACTAGTTTAGAAGTAGAAGCTTACATAGTAGGTACTTAAAGATCGGTAAAATGAATCCTATGCCCAAATCCAAATTGTCGTCTCTTTTTTTATACTAGAGTTTCCTAAACAGCTCTCCATAGAAAGTCCTTGTATATTGACAAATATCCTGGTATGAGTATTTAAGTACCTAGCTCTTTTTTGTTTTGGACATGGGTAAAGAGGTGAGCAAACTCCGCTTAAATCTCCTGGAGGCCCTGGTCCATTAACTGTGCTCTGACTTTGTGTGTTACAGATAGCCAACACTAACACAGCAGCTAAAAAAATTGTCACTTTAAAAAAATGATGCTGAGGAGAGTCCTGGAACTTAACTTCACCACTCTGGACTCTGTGGTAGTGGCAAGTGAGTAATGTTTAGGGTTTGTAACACGTACTTTTTTTACTTAAAATAGATATTCATCGACCTGATGTGAGAAATGCATCAGAGTCAAATATACCATTGCATCTATTTTGCTGGTTCCATTTGGTGACCTCAAGTCTTTATCTTCAAGACGAAATAACTGGACTAGTAATTCTCTACAAAGCCATTATTTCAAGTTATGAGGAAGGATTCAATCTCTGAGGAACAGTATCTGGTACCTTGTCTTACGAGGTTTATTAAAGTGTAGTAGTTATCATAGATTTTCTCCTAGTAATAACAGTGTCTCAGACAATCTACGTGGTTTAAAGAGAAGATAGACCACTAAACTGAATAATGAACAGTTGAGTATCAGCTTCATTTTAGTATCAATTGTGGTATTAGTTTTTGAATAATACTGTATTTGTTTTTAAGAAAGCTTTCAAGACTTCAGATGTTTGAGACTCCAAAAAGCTTGTTTTTAGTGTCGTCCTGTATTCCTTTTCCTAAATATTTTCAAAAGTATTGATAACAAATTTGGGGTCATAGATCATACTGTTGGTCCTTGGGAGTCCTTTTGCAGGATGAACTTCAGTGAGTGTATCCACATGCATGTGTTCTCCCCAAACACTTAGCACATTTGAATCAGTGCCGATATGTACAATGCCGATATGTTGTCCTCTACACAAAGTGAATTTTAAGCTTAGTTGAATGAAGTAGTTTTATATAAAAGCAGCATATTTAAATTACTGTTTCTTCTTGTTCCTGTGGTTATACAAAGATATTACGCCTTGAGCTTAAACAACGCCTCCACAAAGTGATGTGGAGATGTAATCAGTAATAGCACCTAATCACTAGCGAGTGATTGTTATTTATTTTGCAGTATAATGTGTTCTCTTGGTCTGTGTAGTGTAGTAGGATTCTCATTTCTCACAATAGGTGGACTCAACATCATTAGCCAATGAGAATGATGTATTATGTAAAAAGTAAGAAAAATCTATTAAAAATGCCCACTGTGTTATCCAAAGAATTTAGCATTTGCTAGATTGCCAGTCAGCCAAGGTTTTACAGAAGTTATTGTCATTTTGATTTTCAGATGAGTCATTTGGTATATTGCCCCCAAAGGCACCTCATTATGATTCAGTGCACAGCATATAATATTGCTTAGGCTTTCGGGGCTCTGTGCAATGCGAGTGGGGGTTGTGGTTGCTCAGCACTCTGAAGCAGCAGCATTATGCTTAATTGACACCTTTGATGTAGCCCTAAGACAGCACCTGCACCTCCCACTGCTGCTCTGAAGACGTCAGCCTTACGCAGAAAAGGCTTCTGCTTATGAATCCTGCATCGCATTCAGCTCACTCTGTGAGCAATCCTAGCTATCCTTAACTAATCCCACTGCTTCTCATTTTTGCTACAGCTTGGCTTAGTACAGAGCAGGAATTTTGCTGCTTGCTATTAGCAGGTTAAACACTAAGATTTTGTCCATGTTAGAACTCATAGAAGGTAAGTCAAATACCTTGTTGATATCCTAGTATGTAAATATTCTCCTAAAATGCAGAATTTGGGAATCGAATCGTTGATTCTTTTTGTCCTGATGATGACAAGTATGGACTGTGATATGACAGTTGCTTATTTAAAGAATATTTACATATATATGTGATACACGCTTTGTAGTGTTTCTTTCAGTGCTTTAGTGTGAATATTATTGATAGCCTCTTTTGTGATTACTTTGTAGTAGAATTCTGTCCTCTGCTGGTGTTGTTTTGTTAATTTAATGGATAATGTCCCATGCATGCAAAAGATGCTGTTAAAATGAAGAGCACTAACGTATTTGAACGAGCTTATCTATTTGAGAAAGTGATGGCTTGCTGTAACTCAGACTTGGGATGTTACGTCCAGTTCATCTGCATCTAGAAAGGTCTTTTGAGTTAAGTCTGAGGTGATGTTTGGGTCAGGTAGTAATGCAAAAATCTCTTCAAACGAGTGAGTGAGTGACAGCAAGCAGCTGATTTGTTCTTGCAAGCAGTACAGCTTTTTGTTCTGGTGGGTTGCACTTGAAGCCATAACTGAATGGAATGAAAAGCTTTAAATACAGCAAATGTCTGTTAAGGACAAGCACAAAGCACCCTGATCTCCATCACTTTGAAGCATAAGAACAATACAGTTTAAGAAGACATAATAGTATCCTCTGTCATTGACTAAACAGTCTCTTCAGATTCATTATTTGCTTAAACTCTATATAAAAACTGGCTTCATGAGATTCCAAACTGAGGAAACAGTTCTTTTGTGAATTAACTTATTTAATGTTTAAAACATGAAAAAAGCAAATGAGTCTGTTAAAAAAAGAACGAGAAGAAATGAGGTATGTTGATTTAATTATTTCTTTGTTTTCAACAATGCCTTGTATTTATTTTCTGAATTTACTGTCCTCTTAGTGAATGGAACCCCTGGTAGCCAGCTTTCTACTCCCCGCTCTGGGAAGTCTCCAAGCCCATCTCCCACCAGCCCGGGAAGTCTACGGAAACAGAGGGTAAGGAAATAAGGAAACTGATTTCTGAGCGTGGCTGGGCAGGATCTCACATAGCCATTATCAGATAGCCTTCTCTCCAGTGATTCCTTGTGTTTAGAATTATAGGGTGGAAGAGCTTGGATACAATCCTTGTTATGTTTGTGTAACATTCTTAAGTGGAATACAACTGTTCTGTGTCCTTCAAAATGCTAAATATTCTGGGAATTTCTTTATCCTTGAGAAAAAAAGCGGGGGGGG